GCACACAGCCTTCAGATTTGAGAGATTGTAAAGGTTTTTTTTTTTTTTTTTTTTTTTTTTTTTTTTTTTTTTTTTTTTTTTTTTTTTTTTTTTTTTTTTTTTTTTTTTTTTTTTTTTTTTTTTTTTTTTTTTTTTTTTTTTTTTTTTTTTTTTTTTTTTTTTTTTTTTTTTTTTTTTTTTTTTTTTTTTTTTTTTTTTTTTTTTTTTTTTTTTTTTTTTTTTTTTTTTTTTTTTTTTTTTTTTTTTTTTTTTTTTTTTTTTTTTTTTTTTTTTTTTTTTTTTTTTTTTTTTTTTTTTTTTTTTTTTTTTTTTTTTTTTTTTTTTTTTTTTTTTTTTTTTTTTTTTTTTTTTTTTTTTTTTTTTTTTTTTTTTTTTTTTTTTTTTTTTTTTTTTTTTTTTTTTTTTTTTTTTTTTTTTTTTTTTTTTTTTTTTTTTTTTTTTTTTTTTTTTTTTTTTTTTTTTTTTTTTTTTTTTTTTTTTTTTTTTTTTTTTTTTTTTTTTTTTTTTTTTTTTTTTTTTTTTTTTTTTTTTTTTTTTTTTTTTTTTTTTTTTTTTTTTTTTTTTTTTTTTTTTTTTTTTTTTTTTTTTTTTTTTTTTTTTTTTTTTTTTTTTTTTTTTTTTTTTTTTTTTTTTTTTTTTTTTTTTTTTTTTTTTTTTTTTTTTTTTTTTTTTTTTTTTTTTTTTTTTTTTTTTTTTTTTTTTTTTTTTTTTTTTTTTTTTTTTTTTTTTTTTTTTTTTTTTTTTTTTTTTTTTTTTTTTTTTTTTTTTTTTTTTTTTTTTTTTTTTTTTTTTTTTTTTTTTTTTTTTTTTTTTTTTTTTTTTTTTTTTTTTTTTTTTTTTTTTTTTTTTTTTTTTTTTTTTTTTTTTTTTTTTTTTTTTTTTTTTTTTTTTTTTTTTTTTTTTTTTTTTTTTTTTTTTTTTTTTTTTTTTTTTTTTTTTTTTTTTTTTTTTTTTTTTTTTTTTTTTTTTTTTTTTTTTTTTTTTTTTTTTTTTTTTTTTTTTTTTTTTTTTTTTTTTTTTTTTTTTTTTTTTTTTTTTTTTTTTTTTTTTTTTTTTTTTTTTTTTTTTTTTTTTTTTTTTTTTTTTTTTTTTTTTTTTTTTTTTTTTTTTTTTTTTTTTTTTTTTTTTTTTTTTTTTTTTTTTTTTTTTTTTTTTTTTTTTTTTTTTTTTTTTTTTTTTTTTTTTTTTTTTTTTTTTTTTTTTTTTTTTTTTTTTTTTTTTTTTTTTTTTTTTTTTTTTTTTTTTTTTTTTTTTTTTTTTTTTTTTTTTTTTTTTTTTTTTTTTTTTTTTTTTTTTTTTTTTTTTTTTTTTTTTTTTTTTTTTTTTTTTTTTTTTTTTTTTTTTTTTTTTTTTTTTTTTTTTTTTTTTTTTTTTTTGTTTTTTGTTTTTTTTTTCCTTTTGTACACCCGGCACCATTGGGTTAAAAACTGATGGGACATTTTTCTCTATTTATTTCCCAGTGAGGGCCAAACTCAGGATCCAAAAGCCAGATCCAACAAAAAATTTTGAAGTGTCAGCTGCAACAGAACTAATGGAGTTTGTACTCAAGAGCTATCATCAAGAACAGGAAACTCAAAATCATGAGGACAAAACTTTATCAGCAGTGTGTGTTAGTTTCAAGAAAATATTCTTGAGTATAAACCTGAACTAGACATAATATATTAGTGTACCCTCACTATGTCCTGTTCAGGTTTGTACTTGAGAATATTTGACCAAATCCAACATATAGCACATAAAGTTTTGTCCTCCTGCCTATGACACAGGCCATAGTGGGTTAAACAATAAAGACAAAGAAAACTGCTGTACTCAAAGAGTCAAATAATAATCATTAGCATGAAACTCAAAATCAGATGTGACTGAACTTTATTACACATTCTCAAGAACTATACAATTCCTGTATCAATGCTGTATACTTGATTCCTTGAGGAAAATCTCATATAATATTTATCTGAACTGGTTTCTTATGCTCAACTCAAGAGATTTGAAATGCTTCACCATTGCAAATAATTGAGGATGACAAACCAGTATTAAAGTCAAATTCTAGGCACCTTACTTTTAACTCAAATATTATAAGCATATAAAGTAAGAACATTAATGGTGCCATACTAAAACCACGATATTTTGCTACCTTCGTCTTACTAAATGACTCCCTCATTTACAATGAATGTTAACAAAATCATATAAGAAATGGCTTTTTCTATTTTCATATAATTTCAAGTTCATTTTCTATAATCGAGTATGACTGCCAGTATTCAGGCAATATCCAAAATGGTAATCTCATTTTACACTGAGCTACCTTTCATCTAGTTTTTCTTACCTTCTCTGAGTTGAGGCTAACCCAACCGGTGTATATGTACTTTAGCAAGACTTTAAAAGCTGTTAAATTTGTGTCTTTGATCTCTACTTCAGTCTGATGAGATTCACGAAGACCACCAAACAGGAGAGCTCTGTAAAATTGTAAAATAGTATTTTATCATTCATATGAACATTATACAGTTTCCTTTAGTTCACATAATAAGAATAAGGGGAATTATCTTCCAAAGATATTCAAATACTTATTACTCAATTTACAAACCTAAAGTACTGGCTGCGGGCTGCCAATATGACCTTGTGTGCATGAAAAGTCTGTCCATTAACTTGCAGGGTTACATCACTGTACTCATCATTGAGGTACAGAGCACCAATATCATGAGCCAGATTACTTGAGTGATCCACCACACCCCCGGGGTACGGCAGACCCACGTGGATGTTGGACATGTTTCTTCACTCCTGCAGACACAAAAAATGTCTTTTACAGTTTTATTGAGGTCTGTTTTTCAAGTTCAAATCTTGTAAAAATAAAAAATGTAAATTATGAAAACGAAACATAAAATAAACCATACACATATACATAAATATTTCTGCACTTATTTCTATTGACATTATCTTAATATCTATTTTAACCCAATGACACAGAGGCAAAAATTCACTGTCAAGCAATTCTACTGGAAACTGTTGGAGGAGTCTCCCAGTCTTTGTTGTCCGTGGTCAGCCCAGAAAGCCCACTACACACTTTGGGTATGAGTGCCCACAGATATGGCTGGGTGTTGGAGGCTGAAGTTGGAGATCTATGGGGGAGCCAGCAGGCTCCCCAGTTGGCTAAAGACTAGGCAGTCCTTGTGTTGCTGCTGCTGTTGTCATGCTCTGCTGGAGGATCGGGACTTGCTGATCTCAGTTCCAGCTTCTGCAGCTTAAGTACACGTGTGCTGTGTAATCACACAGGGAATGAGGGGAGCCCGCTGTCCAATGAGCGCGGACTTGGCAGTGGACCTGATGTGACCCAACCTGGGAAACTACACTGAACTTCAGATTGCGGGGTCAAGCAGCTACAGCGGCAACAGCAAGCGGTTAATATCCTAATTCACTTCCCGTCCACTGAGGAACATATCTAGAGTAAATAATTCACCATAAAAGGGGTTAGGAAATAAAACAGCCTTTATTCCAGAATGCCACATGTAAGTGCTGTCTTATCTCAAGCCACAAAACTCTTCATTATTGCTCTGTGCATACACACTAATGGATGGATAGGGCAGGAAATTGAAGGTAAAACTGAATACACAATTTTTGATTATGCAGTCCAGGTGATTCACATGTCACTGAGATTACACTTTTACCCTAACACATCTGATGTTTGTATAATGCTGGAGAGAGGAGGAAAATTAACACGAAATTGGAAAAAAAAGACAAAAATTTGACAGATTATGATATAACTTCCCAAACCCTTATCACACTATATGGGTGACAATAAAAATAAGTGGCTCCGGAAAAATTATTTAAAATTCAATTCATGAAAATAAGTTTTAAGCTCATAAATGTTTGCCAGCACCTTGTAATGGAAAAGCAGACAATATACCAAGACAATATACACTATACCAAAACAGATATTTAAGTTTCCAATAAAAAGATTATTAAAAGGTTATCAAGCAAAATCCTGATTTGCTACTTACTGAATACAAATTTTAAAAGTGAGATATCAATCCAACATTTATGATATACAAAAAATATACAAAGGATAATTGTCAGCCCCAATAACAACTCCTTTCCAAACCTTTTTTGATTTTTTCAGAGAAAGCCAGACTACTTCTAATACTAGTCTGTTACAACTAGCACTGAGATTCATGCATCCGTATTGCTGCACCAAAGTAAATATCCGCAAACAAAGATTCTGCAAAATCATCAAATATCTGCGTCTGACAAATCAAAAAATTTGCAATGCAAATGAGGTTTATAATTTGTATTGCAACAGAGTGAGTTTAACCTAAATACAATCTAAAAATATAGCAAATATCAAGTTGCTTTGTTTTGATGTAACAGCAAGCAATATAAATACAAATATATCAGATGTGAAATATATAGTACACCATGTCAATCCCCCCAAAAGACGGAGCCAAGGGGCCTGCCTACTTCAACTCAAGGTTTCCTTTTCTTCCTTCTTTCTCTCTTTTATTGAAGCAAAGAGCCACTAGACACTGGTGATAACTGACTGAATACTGTGTGAACGACATCTTTATATTTCAAATAATCATTATCACTAATTCTGAGTTATCAAACAGTTATCATTACCAATCTAACAATTATCAAATATTTATCACCATTCTGTCATCTATCACCACCAACCTATAAGCTGTCAAATGCCCTTTTCTGATTTGTCATTTCATTTGCTTTATCCAGATGGGGACAGGCCATTTTCCTTTCGCAGACTCTGTATCATCTCCCTAGGTAGTCTATAACACAATAATAATTGCAACAATAACAATAATAATATCAACAACAACAACAACAACAACAAAAACAACAACAATAATAACAATAACAATAATAACAATAACAACAACAACAACAACAACAACAACAACAACAACAACAACAACAACAACAACAACAATAACAACAACAACAATAACAACAACAACAACAACAACATTATCATTATTGTTATTTATGGACTCTCTTAATTCCTTTTTTATATTTGAATTTTCCATAATACCGCCAGCACTGCCAGTCACAGTACCCAGAAATAGGATCCCAAGCAAGGAAATACCATCCTCAATGGAGCCGGCACTCTTCCAGTCATGGCTTACAAACATTACATTCCACACTCTTTTATCATTGAAAGTATTGCAAAAGTCCCTTTGTAAGTGCCAAACGAGTCAATTCACCCTCCAAAAGCACTGTGCACTCATGGCGCGTCTTTCCCATTGCCGCTGCCTTCAGCCGAACTGCTCACAAGGGACGTTCAGGTGACCCCAGCCCACAGCCAATACTCCCATGATGGCATGTCCGTCAACCACTCCTCAAGCCAAATTTTTTCATGGTGCGATGCTCATGTCATCTGGATTGTAGGGTTAAGATCAGAAAAAACTACATTCACTGATATATAAAATAATCTGCCCTGGCAAAAAATAAAATCAGAAACGGAGAAAATAGGTCACAACAAATGCTGTGCAGAGATAGTCAGTGGTGATTGGGTGGAGGTCTAGGATCAGAGCCCCAGTTAGCAAAATAAGGTGGTTGAGTAGGGGTTCTAGGGTAAAGCCCCTGGTTAGAAGATTTTTGGTTCATACAACGATGTTTGTGGATTCCTTAGAGTGCCTCAAGGTTGTTGGCTGGGTGTGGTCACTTCGTAAACAATTACCCAATCACCAATCTGTCAAACTGAAATCAATCATCACCAACCTGCCCAGTGCATCTTCACCTCAGGCAAAAAGCTGAGTATAGTACCGAGTTCTGTACTGCCGTCAAGTTGCCAAGAAATTCCAGAACTTGGTTCTTAAAAATTTAAACAGAAATACATCTATTGCCAGAATTCTATTTTGCCAAATATATGTTGTTTTTCTTCTGGGCAGAACAACTATAATATACAAAAGAAATCTCATGTGAAATGAAAAATCAATTTCAAAATCCTTTTAGATTTCATCTTCAGACCTCACATCTTTTTACTTTTCAAAGTGTCTGAAAAAAATAAGACACTCTTCACCACACTAATAATTCCATTCTTCAGACTACTGTAAAAATTACAAACAATAAATGAGAAAACTACATGTGAAATTTATTTTATCAAGTGCTTAATATAATAACATATGTAGGGGTAATAACATATATACACTGTGATTTCTACTTATATAAATAGATAACAATAGATAAACCTTTCTGCTAAGAAATATATACACTAAGAAATAATAACTTGGAACATTTTTAATATTCACTGGCATATGAAACATGTGTTTCATGGGGTACATATCAACCCACTGGACTCAGGTGCCTGATGGCTCAAGTGGACCAAACTCTGCATCAGCCTCACTTGAGTGGTAACTCTTGCCGGTGTGATTTGTAGGTCTGGCCTACACAAACAATCGTGCACCATGGCAAGACTCTGTGCCTCATCTCTGCATTGCTGTTAACTCTTCTTCTGCATACACATTTATAACTGTTTTGCCATTTTCCAAAGTTAACATTCATCATTTGTTAACAAATAATAACAAAGTGTTGTTTGTATCATTTTTTCTACACATTTGTATTATTTGAGTTTCCGGGCTGGAATAAATTCTTGCACACAGATCGTGTCTTCCCTGAACCTAGTGCTGCCCAGGCATGACTCATGGATGACACACCCCCATTACAGTGAAAACATTGCAAGAGCCCCTGATTCCAGCCTCCCTCCAAGCGCTTCTGGCACTTCAAGCAAGACGTCCCAGTCACTTGCCATTCCACAACACTCTCACAGCAAGAAGTTCATGCCGCTCTTCCCTCGGCCACTTAGATAAGAGGCTATGACCTCTCTGATAATCATTCTTTAATTCCAAACATTTTTCAATTGTTCTTTGAGGCAACTGATATCAAAACATACTATCCTCAACAGGTCTTATTCAGAACATATCACTTCATAGAGCCAATGTGTAAAGTGCCTCCTGGCAGAATAATTTGCAGTTACCACGCGCAGGTGGCAATGCATCCCGTCCCCGGCCACGACCCCTCCTGCCCTCAGCCTCGCAGCCCAAATGCGCCCAAACCGGCCGGAAGGTGACCCCCCAAAGGCCCTGCTGGGCTTCGAGGCCAAGCCGGGCTCCGGGCGGCCACGGGGCAGGCCGGGGGCGCGGGCACGGGCGGGCAGCCTTCAACTGGTGCCCCTCGAGGTGCTTCCTGAACCATGTTAAGGCATACGCAGTGTCACGTCTCCTTCATGTCAGTGTCAAGAAACATTACATAACTGGCAGGACCCGAAGGGCGTCCCGGGCCTCCAGTCCGTTCTCTTATCAATCTGGGATTTTATTTCTCACTTATACGGCTAATTGTCATCGCCCCTAATGGGCCCGCTAACTCCGCCGCAGATTAATCTCAAAGTGACAGGTTTGTCATCCCATTCGACAGCCCGATTACCTGCGAGACTTCTAGAACGGGATCCCTGCGTCGGGTTTGTAAACAGACGCCATCGCGGCCGCCGGCTGGAGCGGAGCCACGATT